AGAACGCAATTTGTGGATAAACACCATATACACCTTGAAGATTGTCTTCCTTTATGTGGAATATCTCACATCCTTTCCAAATCTAGCACTTTCCAGATGCATTGGTGCTTATATTTTCAAGATTTCCTACCTATCAAAGGTTCACGTACTTTAGCCACACACAAATCTATAGCTTTAGATCACTTTTGATTCATTTGTTTAAATGGGTTTTCTTTATATAGTTTTAGGATTTGTGGGTAGGACAGATCATATTTTGTGTGATACTTGTGAATTGAAATTGAAAATTCAAAAAGATTCATAAAACTTTTTAGCACCATGATAGGTGGGAGCTTGGCCAGAGCGAAAAAACATGAAGGCGAACAGGAACAAAGGAGTTATGTGGAAGAGACACTGTGGGAAGGAGCATAGGAAATATAGAATATTTATTTGTTTTATAATAAATCAATATAAGATGATGCTAAGGAGAGACAAAAAAGTATATGGCAAAAAGCCCATGTGGAAAGAAGTCCTGACAAGTAAAAAAGATCTATTAGTCTTATTTACAGTGTTAAAAATTACTTACCCACATATGGTTTCACATAATTTACAACTCATTCAACTTTACACTAATGAACCTGTTTGCATTTCCAATAGTGTCTGGGTTATTTGGTAGTAGCACTGTTGCTCTGAAAGTTTTAATACTTTTAAGATCCTACTTAATAGCACTGGGGTTTATTTAGGTCCAACAATGTCTATTCCTGCTGCTTGATTCCTAAATCATCTCTGCCATTTTAAAAAGGATAAACCTTTACAGAAGCAAAAGCATGCAAAAATATTTCAGCTGTTAAATTCTTCAAGGAAACCAAGGATTAAAATTTTCTGAAAATGGGTTGCGGGGGTGGGGTGGGGGATTGATTGGTCGGCCCCGCAATGCCAATACTGTTTGGCAGATCTCAATCATTTTAACATACACGAGTATCTTTTTGACCAGTGTTAACATGTAACAGAGAGAAGTGGAGAGAGCACACAGCCCGGGGGTGGAGGGCTGTGCTAATTGTACACGTATCTGATGTGATTTTGCCTAGCTTCACCTGCTGCTTCCTGTCTGTTAGGAAGCTTATGGTCACTTACAAGTGTGGTCAGGCACAGCTAGTTGATTTAGTTTAGTTAGAAGAATATTTGGAATGATGGTATTCAATGCTGAGCTCAAGTCTACAAAGAGGACCCTTGCATAGGTCTTTGGACATTCAAGATGTTGTAGGATATAGTGCAGAGCAATACTAACAGCATCTGTTTGTTTGGTAGACAAATTGCATGGAGTCTAACAGTAGATTCATGGTGGTTTTCAGGTGGGCCAGCACTAGTCTTTCAAAAGTCTTCATAACTACAGATGTTAGAGCAACCAGTCTGAAGTCATTTAGTTCCTTGATGGAGGGTTTCTTCAGCACTGGGATGATAGTAGAGCGTTTGAAGCAAGAAGGAATATAGCACATCTCTAGTGATTGATTAAAGATGCAGGTGAAAATGGGGGCCAGTTGGTAAGCACTAGCTTTTAAGCAAGAAGGAGTTATCTTGTCTGGGCCTGGTGCTTTTCCTGGCTTTTGTCTGTGAAATAGACCTTGCACCTCATTTTCTGTCATCCCCAGAGGTGGTTGGCCTAATGGGATGGGGTCAGTTGTAGGAGGCTTGGCTTTTGTAGGTGTGTATAAGGTGGGGATTGTAGAGATGGGTAGCAGTAATTTTCTCTCAAACCTACAGTAAAACACATTCAGGTCATCTGCCAGTTGTCTATTTCCTTCAGCATGGGAAGGAGGTTTGCTATAACCACTGATATTTTTAAGCGTTCTCCACATGCTTGCTGGTTTATTTGTTGAGAACTGATTCCTCAGCTTTTCAGAATAGCTTCTTTTTGCTGCTCTGAACTCCCTTGTTAATACGTTTCTCGCCTAATTGTACAGCATTCTATCGCCTTTTCTGTAGGCTTCCTCTTTGGTACGACATTGCTGCTTAAGATTAGCTGTGAACCAAGGTTTGTTGTTATTGTATATTTGCAGGTTTCTGGTTGGCACACATAGGTCTTCACAAAAACTGGCATAAGATGATGCAGTATCTGTGAGTTCATCCAAGTCTGCAGAGGCATCTTCAAAAACATTCCAATCAATGCAGTCAAGGCAAACCTGAGGCTTTAGCTTTGCCTCCTGAATCCAAGACCTCACTTCTTTTCAGGTCCTCTGGATGAACTTAATCACTCCTTGCGTAAGGTGTAATGACTAAGTCTGTATTGGGTTCCCACTTGTTCATAACTTGTATGTGCAAGTTAAGAAATCTGCAAATATTGCCACATATATAATCTGATTCCCCACCCATAGCCGATTGCCAAAAAGCATGGAGGGAGACATATCATGTTGGAGTTGTCTATTAAAGTGAGTTAGTACCCATGTTCTCTGCCTGACTTGGTCTCCTATGGACCTCAACACTACAAATAGGCATGATTTAAGTTCAAACCTATCAACGTAGGGAGGGTCACTATTTGCCAATTTAAGTTATTTTGTAATTTTAAGATTTGCAGTGAAGAACATTTGCTATTAAAAGCTCCTAAAAACACAGTAGTTGGCTTGCGTCTTTTTTCCCCTCTGGCGTTGGTTATCTAAGAGTTTGCATTCGTTCTGAAAAAAGAAAATGTAATTTTTTAAAAATAGTGTAACTAAAGTTGGTGCTCCTAAACCTGGGGATATATGATCAGTCCTTGCCTTATCTAAAGCTTTCGCGCCCAATCTACGAAGGAGAGGGGGGAAAGGTTAGCTTGTTTCTTATTGACATGTACAAGAGCTAGACGGTGCTTGCCTAGAAACCAGAAGGTGTGTCTTAATTTCAGGAGATATGTTCTAGGCATGAAAAACTGGCTGGGTGACTTTGGCCCAGTCATTTTTTTTTCCAGCCCAACCCATCTCACTGAGTTGCCATTGTGGGAAAAATAGGAAAAGAAAGAAATATTGGTATTTTTGCTACCTTGAATTGTATATGAAAAAAGTGGGATAAAAATCTAAAAAAATAATAATTCGGAATTTAGAGCAGACACACTGATTGGTCATTAATCCATAGTTGAGGTCAAGAAACCCCAATTGGCAAGTGTCAGTATGTGATCGTGTTGATTCCAAGTTTAATATACAAATTCTGCTAAGCATATATTGTTTAACCAATGGCAAAAGTGGCACTTTTAAGATTTTCAGTTGAGAAGATGTACGACTGCGCAGAAATCTGAGGAAAATGAGGGAAATGTATTTGGGATATGAATCCTTCATGTTGATTCCAGGTTTAATAACACTTGAATATCCCCTTTTGCTTGCAGTGGGGCTTACAAGAGTCCATTCATGGAACACAAAGTGGAGTATAGTATTGTGGCACAATGATTGCACTGTCAGGCAAGTAGGCTTTCATTGTTGTGTATTGAAGAATGGAAATCAAATGAAAGATCTCCACAGCTTAATTTTAAAATGTTTTGTTCCTGTTTTGCTAACTTTCCACTAGTTCAAATGCTACAAATTCTTAAAATGTGTAACTATTCAATAGTTAAATATTCCCAGACGATAAACACAAAAGAACTTACTAAAGTAAAAATGTTAGAAAGCTATCAACTAGTTACAGCGGTAAACAGCAAAAACTCCAAATAAATTAATTAAATAAATAAATCAAGAAAGCTTTCAGCTACTTTATTTTGGGTGGTGTTGTATTAGAACTGGAATTACAATGTATGGTAGTAAATACAAATGTCTAAAAGTTTAAATAGCAGTTAATAGCAGTTAGACTTATATACCGCTTCATAGGGCTTTCAGCCCTCTCTAAGCGGTTTACAGAGTCAGCATATTGCCCCCAACAACAATCCGGGNTGCCTCCCAGCTGATCTTCTTTTGTTGCCCTAAACAGGAGAACGGAGCTGGAAAGCAGGTTAGTGGAGTGGGGAGGGAATAGGGATTTTGCAGTAACCTTCCCCTGCCACGCCCACCAAGCCACACCCACCAAGCCACGCCCACAGACCTGGTAGTAAAAAAAATTGAATCCCACCACTGCATGCAACTCCATGCCCAACATTACTTTCCACCACACAAAAAGTCACTGGTGAAGATAAATGAGAGAGAAATACGGTGGTGTTCCTCCATGAGTAACTCCATGTGTGTTAAGTCCAAATGATCAGAAGTCAACATACATCATGATTTGAACATAACTATGTTAATAGAATTTTTTAAAAAAATAGATTAGCATTCTGTGACCACAGCTGTTTCTTCTAATTCATGGCTTAGTGCGATTTGTGAATCAAGCAAATTGTGGCATACTCAATGAACCAGGGTTAATCTGCAGTCTATTTTATTTTATTCAAAAAGTCAAAATATTTTTTTAAATCAAAGTTAATCTGCAGTTTCCTATGATTTGCAAACTCATCGTTAATTTCAACAGTTATTTCTCCTAGATTTTGTTACTTTTAATACTTGCTTAGCTTTCTCCAGTTTAGGGTGCAATCCTATACCCACTCCCCTAAAGATCAGCCCCCTCTGAATCTAGTAATGAAATCTTTTAAAGCCATTCATTTTGAAAGTTTAAAACATATTCTTTTGTGGGACTGAAATAAAAAAAAAAACGGCATTGCCAATTATAATGACTTAGAAATTGCTCCCCAATTTAAAAGTTCATGTGATTTTCCCACTGCAATATTTTATTTTCATAGTGCAAGTGTTTGGTTTTCTAGATCAACCCCCCTCCCCCAATACATACATAAAACAGTAAACAGTAAAAGAGTTGGAAGGGACCTTGGAGGTCAACTAGTCTAACCCCCTGCTCACGCAGAAAACCTGTCCTAGGGATTCAAACCACCGACCTTTCTGATCGACAAGCTCAGTGTCTCAGCTACTAAACCAGTAAGTCACGCTAACTTTTAACCTTTAAATTTAACATTTAAGAGCATTTCTATTCATCACTTGACACACACACCCGCCCCCAACATTTGATAAATTTACCTCCTGTATTTCAGAGCTACTTAGCCCGACATATTTAATCTCCTGTCATAGGACTTCCCAAATGAAAGCGATATCGTCTGTCAGAAATGGTGTAGGGGCTCTCCCTGCTTGGGCTGGGGGTTGGACTAGATGACCTACAAGCTCTCTTCCGATTCTGTGCATCTGATTATGTCTATTGTTCCAGTCCGCCGCTCACCCGGATCCCCGCGGCTCAATCGACTAACCTGCGCGGCCACCCGAAGCAAATCCTATTGTGCAAATTCCCGAAGCGAATCGCTTCCTTCTCCTTTCTGTCAACTGCTCGGATTTGGGAAGCGAGTTGGCTGATAACCGTTTAAATTCTTATGCAACCACTTGGCGCAAAACCGCCCCTCAAAGCTACGCAGTTACCAACCTGTTGGGAAAGGCGAGGCTCTAGAAGTAACTTATCTGCTCCCCGGGCCTTTTTGCAGGCGGGTGTATTCTGCCAACGTCCCGTATCAAAACGAAGACCCGCCTCGTTTAAACATTAACTCCCTTTGTAAAGGAGATCGGCCTTACAGATTAAGGGAGCTATAAAATTTTTGAGACCTTTGAAACACATTATCTCCCTGGGGCGTTTTTTGCTGTCAGCAAAATGAAGCAATCCAGGTTTATGATCACAAAAATGGCCATAGATCTCTCCTGGCTGTGCAGCTCTGTGAAGGGCTTCTGGCTTCAATTTCTTTAAAAGATTTCTATGTTAAAATAATATTTGTAGTAGATGAAAAGAAAAAAATATGGGCGGCAGGATAGCAGTATTCCAGTATTTGAAGGGCTGCCACAGAGAAAAGAGGGTCAAATTATTCTCCAAAGGGCCTGAAGGCAGGACAGGACAAGAAACAATGGACAGAAACTAATCAAGGAGAGAAGCAACCTGGAATTAAGGAGAAGCTTCCTAACAGTGAGGACAGAGTGGAACAGCTTGCCTACAGAAATCGTGGGCGTTCCATCACTGGACGTTTTTAAGAAGAAACTAGATAGTCACTTATCTGAAATAGTATAGTTTCTCCTGGTTGAGTAGGGACCTGGACTAGAAGACCTCCATGGCCCCTTCCAGCTTCTCTTCGCTTCTCTTCTCTTCTCTTCTCTTCTCTTCTCTTCTCTTCTCTTCTCTTCTCTTCTCTTCTCTTCTCTTCNAGCCGGTGAGATTTGAACAGCCAAACTGCAGAACTACAGTCAGCTGAAATAGCCTGCAGTGCTGCATTTAACCACTGCGCCACCTCGGCTCTTAAATCGGTTTACAAATCTCCAGCTTTTTGGTGGTAAATAATACAGTACTTTGAACTGCTTAGAATGGAAAATGTGGCAAAGGACTGCAATGGAGACAGAACAATTCCTCTTAAACTATTGCCCTTAGCTTAATCAACATATTAAACATGAACTTTGAACTAAATATTATAATAGATTTGCTGCCTGTCAAAACTGAAGAGAGATTTTTTGTTCTGATTTGTAAAACCAGCATTTCCACCCACAATGAAAAAGACTCTTCTGAAATAGGTTTTAGGTTGCTTCTAAAGGTTCACGCTTTAGAATTCCTTTGGAAAATGGCTAACATTTACACTAATACGCATAACAATTTGCTTGCTGCTTTTGTATTCTTACCAATATTAACACAGGAATTTCCACTTCCCGCCCCCAAGAATTAAAAGGTTTCTTGAACTTTCTGAGTGAATCCTGAGATCTCGAAGAAAGTGGGGGAAATAACAGGCAAAATGTCAGGGATTACCATCTTTTTTGGACTGTAAGATGCACTGGAGTATAAGACACATCAAGATTTTGAAGAGAAAAACAAGAAAAAAAAAGTTTTTGGCCTCCACACATCTGGATTTTGGTCTCTCCAGCCCCCAGGAGCACTCTGCAAGCTTTCTGCACGCCCTGTTTTTGCGAAAAATGGGTGAAAAACAGGCCCGGATTTGGCCTCCCAAACCCCTCAGGAGTGCCATTTTTGCTCTTTCCAGCCCCCAGGAGCACTCTGCAGGCCTCTCAAACCCTCTGTGTGCCTTGATTTTGCCAAAAATCGATGTGCTGGGCGGGGTTTCGGGAGTCCAAAAATGGCCGTATTCAGTGTATAAAATGCACCAACATTTCCACCCTCTTTTTGGGGGGGGGGATGAGTCTCATACTCCAAAAAGTACGGTATCTAGTGCGGGGTTTCCCAAAAGGGGTCTATGTTGACTATCCTGGATTATCCAAAGTTGTTGCTGTTGTTATTCATAGTATTAGTATTCATAAAATCATTTCCATATAATAAATGTTTGGGATTAATGAATAATCTGAAACTTCATGAAGGGATTGATGATCTGAAGAGTTTGGGGATCCCTGATCTAGTCCAACATCATACACTGAAACACCAAGATACTGGTAGAGAAAAATACATTTATTGAATGTCCTTTTGTCAAAAGAAACTGTATTCATGAAGATACACAAAGAATCTCCCACATTTTATAAATTAGTTTACTTCCCTTTTCCCCACAAAATATTAACTACATAAGAAACACATCACAGAATCCTTTTTTTAAGCATACTATTTATATAATTCTTAAAAAGCACAAAATGGAATGACCATGCTAGCACCTGGACAAAATTCACTGGAAAAAATTATTTGGTAAGCCTCACCTCATAGTGCTGGTGCAAAGTATGGCATGGACAGGAGTTATTTTCTGCCAAAGCATGCCCTTAGATCTCCCAAATCTGATCACAAAATGAAATCCATTTACATATTTTGTTCAAGTGGAAACAAATAGCTGGTGTGGGCTAAATAGTCTTTTCTTTTAGAAAACTATCCTAAAGAGTTTTCCTAAACAGGAACTGTTGAAAAGGCCCAATCCATAGCTTATAACAAACAGCTTTTATATTCCAGAATCTGCGAGATTCGGTTTCAGATACCTGAGGATCTTTAATGGAATGCATGCCAAGGAATAACAACTAATTTTTACATCGCTATGATAAATATGGTTCAGATGACATGCCAACTCATTTATTCATTGAAGATAGCTGATTGAATCAACTAGATTAGTGATGGCAAACCTTTTTGGCATAATGCAATGCACGTGCGACCCCCGTGTGCACCCTGCTCCCCACGCATGTGCGACAGAGACCCGAAAACCATCTGGCCAATGGGAGGCGCGCGTGCATGCACAGTGGATGCCCTCAGAGAGGGTTCAGCATACCACCTGTGGCATGCATGCCATAGGTTCGCCATCACGGAACTAGATCTTTGGCATTGTTTCACATTCGGTTAGTTTGCTTGTCCGCAGCATACAACATAACTTATTTAAATAAGTTTGAATACACTTATTTAAGGTGTTTTGTTCCTGTTCATGTTTCTGGCTAGCAAGGGATGATATTAAACAATCCAGTAAAGATATAGTGGGGAGAAGCCAGGTAGCACAATAGAACACATCTGTATCTAACCTTGTCATACTATCATGCCCTCTGAACGTCACACTTATCTTTGTTGTGCAAGCATTGTACAAGTTTTATTGCTTCTGCTTTGTTGCTCAGCATCACTGCAGAAGTTGGATTTGGCAACTGCCCACAAGGATATATGGTGAATTAACCTCGGCTTTTGCAGCCTTTCTTCTCATGTTATTACTGTATCAGATTCTTTCAGAGACAAAATAGGAAATGTCTTAAGCAGCTTCAGAAAATGAATAGCAAAGCATTTATGGTAACTCCCATGGTGGAGTTATATTTCTGTTTAAATCGGTTCATGCCAAGTTCAGAGAGAAATTGCCTGGCATCAACTTGAGGGGGAAAATGGCTGTTGGTGGCCATATGTGCCTCTTGCTAGATGTTGATGGCCGAGGGAGCTTTAAAAACTAGAGGTACAGAAAAAAGGCAGGCAGCCAGGACCCACTTTCAAAAACAAACAGCTGAGAGGTAAACTGCATGGTTTGCCAAATGAAAATATCAAATATTTTTCAATGGTTTGTGAAATATTTATTAAAAAAAACCTGAATGGGCTGAAGAATCTGATTTAAGGCAACTTCCTAACATTCTTTTCTTTTTTTATTTAATAATGATGCCCCACAAAGCCATAACTTTCCTAAAGCTCCTGGGAAAAAATTCAACCTGGCCCCAGTTTTTGTGGTCTACGTGGGCAATTCAATTTCTAGCAATGGTCTTAAGTAAATCATTTAATATTGCTGTTAAAAGTTGTAATCAACAAGCATTGGGTGGCAAAAGAACATGCTCACACTCAAAGGGGCTTCTTTTTCCCTTTTTAAGATGCACACTGTTATCAGGTACACAACACGCAACACCATTTGTAGTACAATTCAGGAAATGCATCACTACATTACAATCTAAAGTTCCAATGTAAAGTTTGGAATGTTAAAAAAACCTATGTGAAAATGCCAAAAGATGGATTTCAATTGACCTGTCAGTCATCTTTGGAATAAGCATTGAGAGTTGAGAAGCCAACACAATAGAACATCTGTAAATGCTAAATAGTTAAAGTAAGATTGCTTTCCAAACAGAGTTCAAACCAGATAGAGATGACCTCTATTATTAATGCTGATTGTAAAATGCAAAGAAAAATGTCCATACCTATGTATGTCCATATGTTTTAGCATAAGATTCAGAGAGAAAAATCACTCCTGTTTCGTTTGCTCAAATATTGGGTGAAGTGCTATTTATATACCGTCTTTTGAAAGATTTTTATTTTGTGAAAAGAAATCACCCCTGAATAAGAGGTTTGTCAAATCAACTCTTTGACAATAGCAAAATATAAGCATATTAACAATTTGGGGAACATGAGTGAAGAGAAACCTAGCATTAAAGTCTCATGAATCAAAAGCACATATCAAACTTCCTGCTACATTTTACATAAGCCCCCAAAAAATCAAATCCTAAAGGGTCATTTCTTTTCACAATGTTGGAAATTATCTGTGTGTTTAATTAAACACAGGGCTAGATATAGGCAAAAGCTAAACAAGCTACAGTTTAGGGCCTCATAAAATTCCAGAATTATTTTGCTTTTGAGAAATCAAGAAAGAAAATGTTTTAAATTGTATCTGATGTCAGTTTTCTGATTTTACAAATATGTGTATTATTACTTACTAAAAATGATCCTAATTATTTTGTCAGCATTATGTGTATGAAATATGCCTTAACAATATTTTAAAAATTACATGTAAGTATTATTTCCAAGGCATATTATATTGTCATCTATGAGATCAAGCCAGCCAAATGATTAATATGTAATCAATAAAAACATTTGAAAATGATTCATATTTTTCACTTTAAATACCTTGCTGAAAATTATACATACATATTTTGGATCACCACACACAAAAAATTGTTTGT